ATTCCCTGGGGAGAAGGCCAACCTTCTCAGTAATTTCTCAGAGGCAACCATTTCACAGCGGCGCAGAGAGAGCCACATGATACTCCGCGTGCTCTCCGGTGTGATGGCAGCACGAACATTCACGCTATGGGGAGAAGAGAAGTTGCTTTTATATCCCTCCAAGGCAAGAAGTCATTTGCAGGTGTCCCAGAAGGATTCATTTGACTTAAAAATTTTTTTTTCAAATGTTTATTTTTGCGAGAGGGAGAGAGAGAGAGAGAGAGAGCATGAGCTGCGGAGGGGGCAGAGACACAGAGAGAGAGATACAGAATAAGAAGTAGGCTCCAGGCTCTGAGCGCAGAGCCAGATGCAGGGCTCGAACCCTCGAACCGTGAGATCATGACCTGAGCCGAAGTCGGGACGTTTAACCGACTGAGCCACCCAGGCACAGGTCATTTGGCTCTTTTCAAAGTTTGGTTTTCATTTCTCTCTTTTGCTTATGGAGATTTTGAGGGTAAGAGGGAACACTTGTGGGTAATGCAGGATTTTTGCAAGGAGGTCCTTTCTCTATTTGCCTTTCCCTAGGTTTTCCCTACAAGTTACTTGGGAATGTTTTGCAGATGCTGTGCCCTGGGGGCTCCTTCTTACACCAGCCCCAAGGCTTTGCAGAAAGCACACCACACTGGTGTCTGTCAGTCTCCCTGAAACAGGACTCAGTTCTTGGGGGACTTCCAGTGCCTCTGTCTCTGACCACATCCTAAGACTAAGACAAGCCAACTGAAGCATCATGCAAACACAGGGAGATACTGCAGAACCCTAGGTAAACCAGGGCTTTGGAGAGAGGAGAAAAGACATTTGCTCCTTTTCTAGTTAACTTTTTATCTGCCCACAAAGAGCTCTGTGTGCTACCATAACGCTTTGCCAGAATGACCTTCAATAACCCTATATGGCATTTAAACCCCACTTACATAATTCAGTTGTCTCTGTTAACATTTCACGTGTTAATGTTTTGCTGTGCCCAACTAGAAGAGGAGTACCCTGAGGGCAGGGAACACAGTTCAACGTGTGTTTTCCATAATAGCTACCTTTCTGGCTCATCTTAAATATTTAAGAAACATTGGTTGCTTGAGGGGAATTAACAAGAAAGACGCTTTTTGTTCAGCATATCTGACCTGAGAAAGGTCTCCTGGCGTTGGTTAGGTCTGAGAATCCACTCCTGGGGGTGGGGGTTGTTAGGGCCAGTGGGAAGAGCTGTGTGGTGTCTTACAGGGTTCCACCTGGTCCAGCCTTAGAATCAGCCCAGGCACTCATCTTAGAGCCCCACCTGGGATTACTGAATCAGAATTCCCAGGGCGGGGCCTGGGCCTGGCCAACAAGCACCTCAGGAGATACCCATGTGGGAAACACAAGTAGTGGAAAGTGGGAAGCACCAGGGGCTTAATCCATGCTGTCACTCACCAAGGGCCCTTACACCAACCTCTGGTTCTCAACGACCTCATCTGCACATGGGCGGTAACACAGTGCTGGGACCCAAGTAAGTACTCTTGGCTCTGAACATCACTGACATTCTGGCAAACCAGATTCAGGAGTTTAAGACATCACCTCAGGTCAGAGGCAAAGTTCTGGTGAAAGAACAGGTAAGGGCAATGAGGCACTGTTTCTCAAGATCGAGCCTCAGACCACCTGCATTAGCAGGCCCCTAGGCCCAGTCCTCAGGAGTCCTTATCTTAGAAGGCTTCGCAGGTTACAGTAAGGTTTGGGAACCGCCAGCCCAGTCTTCTTTCTCCTTTGCTTTTACCAATGAATTGGCCATTGATATGCAAGCAGCAGATGGGTGCTCTTAACTTTTGTCAACTGGCTTTACAGCAATTACATGAAAATTACTCCCGTGAAACAATGCTCATTGCTTACTTTGGACTCAGAATTATGAGAACAGATCCTATTTTGAAGCCAGCATTTCAAGACATTTAAAGTTCTGTTTCAAAAACCAAGCATCAGAAGAGCTGCTTATAAATTAATTGACAAGGCAGCATTGCTACTTCTGGGGAACATGGCAGAGCAAGACGGTCCTAAGGCTCACTTCGTCCCACAGATACACCTAGATAACACCCATAGCAGTATAAATAACCCAGAAAATGACCCAAAGACTGGCAGAATACTCTCCACTGCTAAATGCAGAGAAGAGGCCACCTCCAAGAGGGTAGGAAAGGTAGAGACACGGTCTAGAGCCAAACAGACCTGCAGGACCTGCAGGACTGTCCGTGGGAGGGAGGGATGCTCTAGGTGTAGAAAGGGGAGAGGAGGAAACCCCACCCAAGGCATGACGGACCACCCGGGGAAGACAGGGCAGCATTACTGACAGTGAGGCTGTTCCGGGAAGACATACCCAGTGTTTGTTGAAATGATCATTAATTGGCTTAAATGCTAGAAACTTAACATATGCAAACATCCATATTGTTTGAACGTCACAAGATTTTCAAGTGCTTTTGTCTGCCTACAGCTCTCACTTGCTAACGATGTAGCACAACAGCACTGGACTAAGAGGAGCGATGAGGGATTTGATAGTCACCTGTAAAATGAGAGGGCACGACAAGATCAGGCGTTCTTAAGCTAGAGTACGTGGATCATGGATGGCTTCAGGGTCTTTGGATCCTGTGAAGCCATCAACCAAACTCTACATACTAGTATATTCATTTGTCTGGGGATGGTGCCTAGCTTTTTTCAGATTCTCAGGTCCAGACCGCG